ATATATCGTGTGCTTTAGCGACGAATCCGACTTCCACACCTTACGACCCATCATAAACATAAAAACACAAGCAAAAACAACAACCACAATTATTGTTCAGCTGAAAAGTACTCGTTTTTTTCCATAGCGAAAGAAAGAGACAAAAGGATTTCAAGTTGGAAAACTTTAATTTTTAATAATTGCGAAAAAAAAAAAACAAGAAAACCATGAGTTATTGCTATTAACAACGACATCAACTTATTGCATTAAATAAAAGTTTCTTTCGAAAAATAAGATATTGAATAAAAAGAGAAAAACTAAATATAAAAATTATCGTCTTAAAAATGAAAACGGGAAAAATTTTGTAAATTAACTTAAATTTGCATATAAATTAATCCATGTTAAGATATAGACTTGTGTCGACGCATTTCTTAAAGCAACCATAAAGTAAAGCAAAAGTGGATTTAATTAAGGGATTTTTATTGAAAAAATCTACGTACACATACATATATAACACGAAATAACGACACACTGTATTAAAAATTACGACAACAACACAACAACGAACTTACACACATATATTTCTTACAAAAAAAAAAAAAAAGTGTGTGCTTTTAATACATAGCGAGAGGAGAGAAGAAAGAGAGAGTAAAAAAGAGAAAGAGATTACAGGAGAGACTACAAGCAAAAAGTTTATCTACAACCAACACGTGCTCGCGTGCTCGCTCTAGCAATAGCAGCACAACTTTATAATAAGAGAAAGGAAAGAAATTGCCGAATAGAACGTTTGTTTGTGTCTGTGCAGGTCAGAGTACAAGCCTGAAAATTGCATTATATGCTGTATGCTCGCTTTGTGTGTGTGTGCTTGCCTTAATCGTACAATAGTGTCTAATTATTTTTCTCATTGTAAAAATCCCTCTTCATTGCATACAGTTGTTATCGATAAAACGCACCCACGCTAATGAAATTATTATTAGTTCAATAACTAACGCATAAGCTTAAACATCGTTCTCATAATCCAATCCATATATATACATATATATATATATATATATATATATATACATATATATATCTATCTATCTATATATATATAGAGAGACAAGAGAGATTAAAAAGTAGTTTTTTTTTGTTTAAAAAAGGAACATAAAACAAACGCATCAATCCGATCTTAATAGATAATAAAATAATCAATCAATTGATCATTTGAATCATTTAATTCCACTCTTATCTTCATCTACATAAATTAGGATTTAAAAGGAAAGCAGCTAAATAAATACACGCAAACAAATAAATAATTATTTTTAATCCTCTTAATACATCAAAAAACCTTCAAAAGCAAATCTCACTAAATAATAATAAGAATAATTTTGTTTTTTCACAACAACTGGCTTTTTAATTTTGTCACAACGTATTCGTTAAAAGTTTTCCTGTTATTTAAGCAGTCAATTTCCGAATTAATTAGCGAAAATGTGCAGAGATCGCGATATGAATTTGCCGTAGATCAACGTAATCGTCAGTATAAAGTTAAGAAAAAAATGAAATTAAAGCAGATATAAGAAACAATAGCCGACTAAGACGCCGTTAAATATAAAATCCAATTACAATAACAAAGCTAAGCTCAAACAACAAAGCACCGTAAGATAATTTGATAGCAAATCATCTTGGTATTCTTTTAATTAAAGATCAAAATACCGGCAAATTTTACAACAATAAAAAATTAAAACAATGTGACTGCGTAATCCGAAAATAAACCCAATCCAACCCAACCGTTAGCATACATCAGAAAGTGTACGTTAAGCGAGCGTTTTTCATATCTATTTTGCGCGTGTGTGCTTGTGCGTGTGCGAAGGCTTTGAGTGCTGTAACCTTCTCGTAGCGTATTGCTGTCAGTGTGAATACGACTTGAAATGAGAACAGTTCTCCGTGATACACCCTACACGCGCCTATTAAAGTGATTTGAAATATTTTTTTTAAATTTTTTTCTTAAACTCCAAAAAAAAAAAAGAAAAAGAAAAGAAGAAAAGCTGAAACTTTGTGTTTAACCTTAAACAAGTGTAAGAAGGCGTTTCAAAAAAAAACCAGCAAGATTGAAGACTTTGTAAGGAACCTTTGGAAGTCTGTTAAGGCTTGCGTTGTAAGTACATAATCTGCATACAATTGTATAACATTTCGTATTTGATTTTTCTTACAATAGTTTTAAGTTGGTAAAAAAAAACCAAAAATATATATATATATGTGTATATATTTGATCAGCGTCAAATTGAATTGTGTTCGGACTAATCTCGGATCTCTCTATACGATTTCAACAAAAACTAAATTTAACTCAGTTAGATCCTTTCTATGGTTGAATTTCATACATGTGATCCGCCCTGTTATGAGCTCAAAGATGCGCAACATCTATACAGTTTTCTTGACATGAAACAAAATTCTTCTTCGTTATGAAATCCGGATGATACTTGTGCTATGAAAATTATGTTTCAAATATTTCATGATCAGTTAGCTAGTACTTAATTTTATGAACAAATTTTTCATGTTTTTTTTTTTTTTGTTTGCTTCTTAGGTTTTGTTTTTGTGTATCGCTTCCATTTGCATTCATCTGCTTGCGATGACACAACGTTTCATTTCGTTATCGTTATTATTATTATGCACAGTGACAAGTCGTATAGACGTGTTTTGCGATATGTACAAATTTTAAAATAAAAGTGCATAAAATATGCGCAGAAAACCAGAAAATTTCCACAAACATGTACCAACTTATGATAGATAAAGTTTTCACTTGACTTGGCCGAAGGAGACCATAGGTAAGGTAGGGTACAGAATGGCCCAGGGCTTATGATTTGCCCATTCGCTAAGTAGATTTTATCCTTTCGTTTTTATTCGTATAAAGGTAAAGCATTTCTTTTAGAAGTAGCTGTCTGTAGAGCGTTCGTAGGGCAAAAATTGAAAACCACCACAGCTCTCGTACTAGCTAGCTCAGCAATGACAAGTACGTGCGTCTCTACCACTTCCGGCGCTCTTTAAGTGACACTTCAGAATAGCTCGAAAAATACTAAAGTCAGAGAGACAACGAGGATTTCCAGACATAGCTGTTACATAGGAAAACACGAAAGATTCGTCGAAGAGGTTCCTGTTACTAGGTTTTGTATAGTCATCCGACGGATATTGAATTCATATTCGATTTCTGTTGTTTTTCGGCATTTCGAGAATTCCTTTTTACACTTATTTTCGATTATGATTTTTTCAACGCGTTTTGACCTGTCGGAAAGAAAAAGCGAAATGCTGCTGAACCCAGTGAATGCTAGATATCCAAGAGGTGATTTATTCGACGTTTTGTGTTTAAGACGGTTTTCCAAGTGGGTATGGCTATTCCGCCCGAGCATCCGCATTGACCAGATCTCTCAACGACAATTATTAATTTGCATATTTCAAAATCACGTTGTAGAAAGACAGTTACACCACTGTTGACCAGGATTATATTGATGAATAAACTCGAGATTATTGACCAATGTATTAATCGGAGAAATAAATACAGAGCTTTTCTTGAACAACTTTTAGTTTCGATGCGGATTATTCAAAATTCAATACTGTGTCGTTTCGACAAGCTTTCAAATTTACCAATGAAATGTTCGGTGAATTATAAAAAAACAGTAAATATAGTGAGGTGTTCTCAGCCTACGTGGTACTTTGGGCGCTTCCTTTGAATAATTTGGCTCGTTTACAATACCAACGTGCAACAATATCTATGTGCAAAAACTTCCAATGTTTCCAAATGTGCCAAATTTCAAGTCAATAGCTCCATTTTTGCTGTTAGGAGAATGTTTAGAACAGACATTACGCAGACGGACATGCTTATATCCATTCGGAATTTTATCCTTATAAAGAATATATATATTTTGCGGAATCTCTGATGCAGCCTTCTGGACGTTACAAAGGTTTTGACAAAATGAATCCTACAAAAACATGGAAATACCATCACTCTTGACCATTTTCCTAGATTTCCTAGTGACCGTGTCATCAGGTGATATTCTTCTTTCCACGGTGCCGCTGTAAACATATTTCTATTAGTAGAGACTACATCGATTTTCAAGCTTATTTGAAATGTGTGACCTAGTTTCGACTTGTATCGATTGAAGCAAGAAGAATTTCCCCATAACATATCAGGGCTATGATAATATATTGCACCTCTGTCTGCTATTGGCATACAAATTCAGAAAGTTTACAATCTGGTCACTCTATTACATTGTTATATACCCTTACTTAATTATCGCGTCTGTTAAGATGTAACAACACCTCTCTTGTAGTTGTTCATATTTAATTAAAAATATTTAATCAAAACGCAAATAAAGTAGGGAAACACAAAACAGAATATGTATAAAAATCTCAAAATTTCGTGCTTACTGCATATTGGATATGCATATGTCTGCACATCATAGGTTAAGTACAAGTTTGGTTCAATATTTGTTTTATTTCGTAAGATATTGATGAAAAGATCTTGCAATCTTTGCTGTCTTTTTTTTTTAAAGATTATTTTTAGCATTTTATTACCGACAACTTTGAGCTTTAATGTGCAGATAACTATTTTCAGCTTTCTATCATAAATTCAGAGACTTGGAAAAAAAAAGAAATAGCGACATATGCGGACTACGTAAATGATGTGTTGGATGTCTAGTTGACAAAAGCTATTATGAGTATGTTTAAAACTAAGGCTTTAAAAAATTAAAAGATTAAATATGTTAGAGTACCTTTACTGGACAGCGCTTAGAGGAGGGACGCCATATATGCTCAATCGCAAGTATTTAAATACATTTGTTTACCAAAATTTTGTTATTTGTTTTTGCATTTAAAGGTCTTTAACCATATCTTGCTCGGCCACTTGTCTCTGTGACACATAATTTGTTTTATTTTTTTGTATATTAATATTTTTTTTTCATATTCGTATATGGTGCTTGTTGACTCTTAAATAACGCGGTGCGTCATTTGTTGTTTACATTTTCTCTTGTTTGTTAGGTGACTACTCTGTGGGTAATATATATTTATATACTGTCGCGACTTTCTTATTTTTTGCTTATAAACTATATTTTTATAATTATCAACACAATGATGTATACTTGGTTGGCCTTCTTTTCGTGACATTAGAGCACCAGGAAGTATATTTTTTTCATATATTTCTTCTTCTTAAGATTCTGTGACAAGGACATATATTGTCCCTTTTGTGTCTTTTTAAATCCATTTCTCTAAACAGTAAAACTATATCTTTTCTTTCCGATAAATGAAATTTTGACGTAAGCAAGCTTTCGATGTAAGAAGCTAAAACCTCCTAAAAAAATCATTGAACATTTTTTTTTGAGCAAAGACCTTTGTATTATTATAAAGCTAAAGTGTTGAAAGCACTTTACATGTCCTTGAAAATTATTATTATTATCTAATATCCATTTTTTTAAATTAGAGCCGATAGCCTGTGTTGCTAGTGCTCAATGTCTCTTTTTTTAGTCTAAGAATTCAATTCATTAGTCTAAAATTAAAATAATAATAATAATAATAATTATTTTGAATTTTTAATTGATCAACGTTTGTATTCGCTGAATTTCAGTTTCCTATCTTCATTTTTGGGATTATGGCAATTCCACTAAATTTGTGATATACATAGGTATTTCTCATCATCAAAAGTCGTCAAACATTTTTGGAAGTTTGCATGTCTTACAACCACTTTTTTCTAACTCAATTATTGAATGAGCTCAAAATTAATTCAAGTAGTTGCCCTGATGTAGTTCAAAAATATTTAGTGGTGGTTTTTACTGCTTATTCCTTTTAGAAGAGAACTTACTCATTTTAGAATCAGAACTATAAAAAGTTGTTGTCTTCTTTAAAACTTACTCAAATTTGATAAGTATTTGATAGGCGTTATAAATAAAGTGAATATTATAGAAAAGTATAATTTATAATCTGTCGGGGTCTTAATTTCTTAACATAAACAAACTGTTTGGAATGGTACAAAAAACACACTATACTCGAGATCTGTCGATCTGTATTGCAATACAACTTCAACACTGGAAAAGTAAGTAATCAGTGTTCCTTGTAACAAAAACGCTTGGGAATTGATTTTAAAATTAAATTTTTTCTAAAGTTATCTCCATTTTCTCCTCCTTCTCAATTTTCATTTATTTAAGCGCATGCAATAAGAATTTTAAATTAATGAAATAACACATTGAATACATCCGAATAAGTATCTAAGCATGCGTAACACATAAATATTAATTTTGCTGTTATATTTAACATTATATAAAATTTTTTTTTTTTTGCATTATTTTATTTTCAAGGTTTGTTTTTTGTTTGTTACCTGAGTGGTCATCACAAAAAAGAGGAAATATTTATTTAAATTCATTAATCCGTTTATAATTTTTAACAAGTAAGAAAATTTTATTCGGTCCTAACCGAATCTTTTACACGCATCACCTTTACTCTAAGAAAAGAAAATAACCAAGTTTCCATACTCTATAGTACAGGATGGGCCTGACTGGTGTTTTCAACTTTCACAATAAAAGTGGAAGTTTTTAAGTCGGTGCGCTCGACTGTATGAGTAGCAATCAAAAAATACTGAAAATGTTCGCCATGTCCAGTTTTTTTGAAAATTTGTTATCGAAATCTTCATTTATGCAAATGTGTGCCACAGATACTACACAGTTGGGCAGACGGACAGATGGACGTGCTTAGATGCATTCCGAACTTGAAACTGTGCTAGAGTTGATATACTTTCTGAAGGTTCTTGAAGCTTGTGCGCGTCATAAAATCATTTTTTTATTCCCTTTGAAAATCAGAGGTTTTCTCAATTTATGCGGTACTGCAGTCGTGTCCTTTGACTAATTTGACTAATTTTCAATACCAACCCGCGTGGAATAACTTTCAATGTTTCCGCCAAATTTGGAGCCGATATCTTCATTTTTAGGGCTACGACCATGTTTAAAACCGATATTATATAGACGGGCAGACGGCTAGGTGGACAGATGGACATACTTAAATTCATTCAGATTTTAATTCTGATCAAGAATTGTTGTGTCAGATCTCTAAAGCTTTGCAAACGTGTTGTCAAAGTGAACTGACACTATTTCGATATAGACCGGTAAAAATTAGTCTCCTTAATGGGGTCCGATTTTTACCAATGCCGAGTGCAAATTGATTTTATGATAAAATTAGTGTCGAATAGAATATTTTAAGCGAAAATAAAGGGGAATATTTTCAAAATGCTGAGAAGAACCAATGACGTGCAGAAATGCATTATCAAAAAGAAATGAAGTAAAAAATTGTTTTGAAAAGTATTGAAAGTAAAATCAAAGTGAAGGGTTCTTAAAGAATATCTCTCAAGTAGTCGCAACAAGTGTTGTGTCGCGTCAGTTTAAACTTAGATAAATTGAAAAGAATTTATAGATAATTGTTTTGCCTATCTATTTGCCTTCTTTTCTTCCTATCTGCACTTATTTGTTTTTGTATTGATATAATACACACACCAATGATATTCTACAACGCGGTTTTTGTCTCGACTAAGAAACTTCATTCGAATAATCAGCTGCCGACTCATATAAACTTACAAAAGAACATCATCGAAAGGGATTGTCGGCAAACATGTTTGAGTCAGGATGGGCAGCCTTAAGCTGGCCCATATTTGTCGTCTATTGTGCCACGATCGTTAAAGTAGAGTAGAAATTGGAATTAAAGGAAACTTCGAACCCAAATCCCTGTTTTATGGATTTTGAGAATTCGTTTCAAATATGATACTAATGAAAAGCATTGGGAAATTTTAATGACTTCAATTCAAGTCCGATCTGGAAGTTTCCTTTAGTGTTCTAAAGGTATGGCATTAAAATGAGACTAATCGGTTTATGAACGCTCACAAGATAAATCATCGGCCAATATTCTTCCTAAAGCAGAACAAAACGCTTTCTAATTTCTATGCAAATAGTTTGTTGAGCTAAATTGTACGTACTTTAACATGAATGCATATGCACGCACGAATATTTATATAAAATTAAGCCAGTACTCGTGCTTCCATTAAACAATTAGCGCTCAGTTTGTTTATTTTTCGTTTTGTAGTCATTTGAATATTCATTAGTGAATTTAACGAATTTATATTTATTAATTAGGTACAACAGATAAGTAGTGTAATTATTACAATAATGTAGTTATTGCTAATTCTATAGTTATTCCATGGCATGCGCCTATTTTTAATGGGATAAATGACCATATTTTTGACAAGCAATTGAACTACGCATAAAAGTGTTCATTCTCGTGTGAGGCATGATCGAGTTGCATAACCCAACCGAACCGACACGGTTGACATAATGGCGTTCCCAGGCAAATTTTTCAATCTTGTTGTGAAATTGTTTGACATATATGATATGATATGATATAAGTTGAATGACGAGCTATTAGTGATGATTTTATTATTTGGTCTTTCGCAAAATTTGAAGATTTTTTTGTAGTTGGACAGTTTAGCAGCGTTCAGACAATTAAAAGTAAAGCTCTCGGAAGAGAGAGAAAGTCGTAATAGCTAAGAGTAATCATAAGGGGGAACCAAGCTCTTGTCTTTCACTTTCATAAACTATACAAAGATATGTCTTGATTTATCATCTACAAAAGGAAAAAGAGTGGCACGTACTACCCTAACCTATTCAATATTTGTAGGACAACATGCAAGTGAGAAAGATAGCAAAATTATTAGCGGTGGCAAATTAATACCAAAACTGATTTAATATTTCCAACAGTACAATTAACAAATTCTTTCCTCAAACCTCGAAGAAGGCCTTTGACTGTGAAGAATCCGTTGAGTGGCATAACGCTGGCAATGGCAATTAGCATTGATTTTCTAGACGGAAGCTTGAAAGACCATTTAAAGTATTTTTAATCAGTTCATCAAATTCTGAATCAATCTCTCCGTCTGTCTATTCGTTTCTCTAATGTATGTGGTAAACAGTCTCGGAGGCTTACGCAGGTTGGTATTGTAATTATTTTATGTTCTTTACTCACAAGATGCAGCAGAAGCAGGCTCGCTCCAGCAAACCTCATAAAGTGTACACATTATTGGCCGGTATATCTATCTGTTCGCCTGTCCATCTATCTGTCTGCGCATTGATATAATATTGGTAGTGGAGATTCTCCCATTCGCAAAAATTGAAATATCGCCTTCGAATTTATAGAAAAACTTCAAAGTTTCTCAAACTGGTTAAAGGATATGCTTCCAGTATAGCATAGACTGAGAAAGCTTTGCTTCTTTTTGGATTCTTCCTCATAGCGCATAAACCACAATAGACATACGACAAACATTTCCATGCCCATACAATATTATAGAGTGGAACAATTTGGTTTTTTTTTTTTTTTTTTTTGTAGCCTTACGTCGTGATAATGAAAAGATTATAACAGAAGAAGAGAACATAATTTTCTTATTTACTTTAACTGCTTTCACGTAGTTTTTTTTCGGAATTCTTTTAAATGACATTTTCCGCTATCGTATTAGAGAAGTTAGTTGCAATTTCTTTGAAGTAAAGAATTTCCCTATACTCTAGGAGATTCAAAGCATCGATTTAATCATTTCCGAATTTTCCGGGAAAAAGGTCCATTGGTAGTGTATTAGATGCGGTGTTATAGTTTAACGTGAACATTTTCCTAGGGAGTTCAAAAATAATCCTAAAATGATTCGAAGCTGCAAAGTTCACATTTATGATTGATTGCATCGAGTTTTCCGAAAGCTCTACAGTTAAAGTACACACTAAACTGCTCACGAACTTTATACATTCCGATAAG